GGGCGTGGCCAACTTAGGAGCCAGCCGTTCCCATGCGTTCCTGCCCAAAAATAGCCCTGCCTTGGATGCAGGGATTCCTGTCTACCTGAGCCTGGAGCGTCTTGTTGACACAAACGGGCACCGTTCCCACATGGATGGTCTTCGAGATGTTGCGTGCCTCTTTCTCTAGAGTCAGGCGTGGCACAGACTGGGAAGTGTCAACCCGGAGATCAAAGGAGATGGTGGCTCGGAGAGCACCTGGTTTTAGAAAAGCAAATAATGACAAGTAAGACACAGGGAGGGGAAAACACACCTGACCCAAAAACTGGAATCAAGAACCAAAAGGGTGAGAAGAAAGTCTAATGAACAGTCTAATGCTTAACCTTCCTCTTCCTGGTCCAATATTCACTTATTGGTTATCTTATTGCAATATGCATTTAAGTTATGTGTACCTCAATATTGTTTGACCTCTGAAGAAGGCCCCAATAGGGCAGAAACGCATCAGGTCAAGTGTATTGGCCCAGTTTGGTGTAGAGTGAGCAGACTCTAATCTGGGAGAACCGGGTTTGATTCCCCACTCCTCCACTTGCACCTGGTTGGATGGCCTTGGGCAAGCCGTAGTTCTGATAAGAGCCAGGTAGGAGCCACCACCGAAAAGGACCTGGCCACCGAAAAGGACCTGGCCCTCGTGGTAGCAAGCCTGGCCTCTTTAGGGCCCGGGGTCACCAGGCGGTGTTTTGACCCCGACCGAATTGCTCTTTGGGGCCTGTGTGGGGAAAGGCGGTCCCTCAGGTATGCCGGACCCTGGCCATGTAGGGCTTTAAAGGTAAGCACCAGCACTTTGAAGCAAATCCGGTACGCTATAGGCAGCCAGTGCAGCGCCTTCAGCACAGGTTGGATGTATTCCCATTTAGGGGCACCCACCAACAACCTGGCCACCGCATTCTGCACCAGCTGCAGCCTCCGAATTTGTGACAAATGCAGCCCCACGTAGAGAGTGTTACAGTAGTCTAGCCTCAAGGTAACTGTCGCATGGATTACTGTGGCCAGGTCATCGCGGCTAAGGAAGGGGACCAACTGCCACACCAGCCATAGATGATAGCTGCTCCAGCAGTGGCCGCCACCTGGGCCTCTATCGTTAAGGTGGGGTCCAGGAGCACCCCCAAACTCCTAACCTCCGAAGCTGGCACAAGAGGAGCCCCATTGAAGGCCAGGAGTGGGAGCCCCAATCCCATACCACCCCGACCCAGGCCCTCCATCTTCGCCAGGTTCAGCTTCGACAGGCTCAGACTGTGGCCAGGTCGTCGTGGCTAAGGAAGGGGACCAACTGCCACACCAGCCGTAGATGATAGAATGCTGCTCAGCCTGAGCCCGGTGCAGATCTTCTGGGTCGGAGTCCAACTGGCCGCCCAACATCCGATAGAGCTGGGTGTCATCTGCATATTGATGACACCCAAGCCCATACCTCCGGACAATCTGGGCGAAGGGGCGCATGTATATGTTAAATAGCATTGGGGAGAGTACTGCCCCCTGAGGCACTCCACATTCCAGCAGGTGCCTCCGGGACTGCTGCTCCCCCTAGCACAACCCTCTGTCCCCGACCTTGGAGAAAAGAGGCAAGCCATTGAAGGGCGAGCCCCTGAATCCCCACGTCGGCAAGGGTGCGAGCCAGCAGCTGGTGGTCAACTGTATCAAATGCGGCCGACAGATCTAACAACAACAGCGCTGCCACGATCCAGATGTCTACGGAGGTCGTCAGTAAGGGCAACCAGCACTGTCTCCTTCCCATGCCCCGGGCGAAAGCCAGACTGGAATGGGTCAAGGACGGAAGCGTCATCTAGAAAGCTCTGTAACTGAGTCGCCACCGCCCTCTCGATCAGTTTGCCCAAATAGGGCAAACTGGACACCGGCCGATAGCTGGCCAATTCAGCCGGGTCCAAAGTTGGTTTTTTCATGAGTGGGTGGACCATTGCTTCCTTGAGTGCCTCCGGGAACCACCCCTCTGAGAGGGGCTTGTTGATAACTGTCTTTCTGTCTTTTTAATAACTACCTGTGTTTTTGTATATTATAAGTTTTAACTAGGTTTTTAATATTGGCCCTTCATTAGACTTTCTTCTCACCCTTTTGGTTCTTGATTTAAAAATGCAAAGACAGCTGACTCAAAAAGAGTAGAGAGTGTATTTGAACAAACTAAACTGATGAGGAAAGCAAGAAGTGAATGAACCATCAAGGGCCAAAGAAGACATGACACCATCCCGTGGAGAACGACACAAAGCCCAGCATGAACTCATTAGCGTAATAGGCCACACCCAACAGCAGAAACTCATTAGCATATTAGGCCACACCCCTGACAGGACAGCTCATTGGCACATTAGGCCACACACCCATGTTACCAGAAGCGTGCTCATCCAGCCACACCCACCTTTTGCTTCTTATTCTGCTTACCTTGTTTGTTGTCAAAACCCTGGGCTTCTTTGTAGCAGGAACGCCTTTGCATGTTAGGCCACACACCCCTAATGTAGCCAATCCTAATGAGTGTCTGCTGTTGGGTGTGGCCTATTATGCTAATGAGTTCCTGCTGGGCGTGGCCAACTTGGAAGCCAGCCGGAACTCCGTTCCTGTGTGTTCTGCCCAAAAATAGCCCTGATTTTAAGAGATTCAAAGATGTCTGAGAGAACCTGAGCCTCACTGCAGTGTAGCAGGCTGAGGCGTTCTTGTTCACCCTCCTCCTGTGCCTGTTCCTGTGCAGCCATTTGGGCACTTGAAAAGGAGCCAGCAGGGAAATAAGAGCACCTCAGCCTGCCACTCTCCCTCATGGCATTTTAAAATCTCTTTTAAAATGGTGGCAGTGGCCACGGATCAGAGCTGTGGATGCCGTCAAGTCTAGTTTGGCCCTCAGTGTCTGGAGGGACTCTTAACAGGACGGCATCACTGAGAAAATGAATGAACAATAAACGACTAAATGAACTTGACAGAAAGAACTGGCACATTGAAACTCGTGTTTTCCTTTGCATTATGAGGGAAGTAGTGAATAAAATAAGCAAAAAAAAAGGTGAACGGGAGAATAAGGAATAAGAAATGATGAAAGAAATGAAAGATCTGATAGGAAATGAGGACACGAAAGAGAAAGTAAGAAGAAAAAAGTGTTAGTGAAATAGGATTGTTGGGTCCCTCCTGGCAACTGGTGGGGGGTTGGGGGGGGCTCACCAGGAGCAGGAAAGAGACCCAGGCTACATCACCAGCAATGTGGCAACAACACCCCAGTGTGTACTGGCAACGACGTCATCACGCTGGCGACATCATGGTGATGCTCTGGTATCTGGGCAAAAACTCTTCAGTAAAAACACCTTTCACCATAGAGTTTTTTGCCCCAGTACCAGAGCATCACCATGACAATGTCACTTCCAGTGCACGCTGGAAGTGATGTCACCACATTGCTCGTGATGTCACCACATTGCTCGTAATTTCCTGCTCCTGGTAAGTCCCCCCAACCCCCAATCATGGGGGCAGGGCCTGGTGGCAGCGAAGTCCCTGCCTCCACCGGGGGGGGGGGCTAGCAACTCTAAATGAAAAACACATCTAGAAAAGAAACGAGGCAAGATTATCAGTAAAATAACTAGAGAGAAACACAGGACAACGTGGAGTGATTAAGGGCTAGACTGGATGTGACAGAATCACAGAGTTGCCAACTCCAGCTTGGGAAATTCCCGGAGAGTTGGGGCTAAAGCCTGACAAAGGACCTCCTTTTCCCAGAGGAACTGATCTCTGTTATCTGGAGAGGAATTGTAATTCTGGGAGTTCTCCAGGACCCACCAGGAGGTTGGCAAGCCAAGATGGACAACACAGATGTGCATAAGATGTGTTGGCCTTAGAGTTTATGGCCTGAGGATGGGCCTTTACCAGAGCTCCATTTGGTGCTGATGAGTTTCAGGGTGAAACAAAGACTGAAGCTCCCACGTGGGCCAACTCCTGAAACTTTCCCATTTGCACAGTTAGGATCATCCGGGGGGATCGAGCGAGGTGAGAAATTCAGTGAAGAGACGACAGTGAAGATGGGCCGGGACCTGAGAGGGACAGAAGATGCAATCATTCCCAGCTAGCAGCCCCCTAAACCCTGGTTGCTTGAAACAGGCCCTGCCAAAGCCCCCTTACTAGCCAAGCCCTGCTGAAGCAGCAACCACGTCAACATAATAAGAGGGGGACCAATACTTGGCCATTATTTCTTGACTTACTTCACTTTATACCCTACCTTTCCCCCACACACACACTGGGGACCCCCAAAAGCAGCTTATGTCGGTCTCTTCTCCTCCCTTCTAACCTCACAACAACCCTGTGAGGTAGGTTGGTCTGAGAGTGTGGGACTGGGCCAAGGTCACCCACGGCAATGTGGGAATTCAAAGCTGGGTCTCCCAGATCATGGGCCCATACGACCATTCCACCATTCTGGCTCTGGAGGGGTGGTCTCCTCTCCCAAACACCGACCAAACCCAACCTTGCTTAGCTGCAAGAAGGCTGCTGAGTCACATGCAGGTCCAACCCTACCCTGGGACCTGGGTGCTTTCTTGGCCCCAATAACAAGCTTACGTATGTTCACTTATTCTGTAGATTACGAGTTATCTTGGTGCAGTGTTAAGAATTTGGGTAGGGAGATGCAGAGACCCCCCCCCCCAATGCTTATTAATATAGACTTTCTTGCCCTCAATCCACAACCATTAAATGCCCCCAGCTCCTTTTTATTTATTTAGAGAACTTCTACCCATCATCTCCAGAACAGATCCTTTCCCTTCCAAAAGCCATAACAAAGGGAAATCAAACAATTAATACAGTTGTTCTTTTGTTTTTTGAAAAATCTTACCGAAGAAGCACGGCATTTCCTAGCGCCCCAACAGCCAGGTCAGTCAGTCCATCTCCACTCAGGTCCAATCTTCCCTGGAGAGACTGGCCAAAAAAATTCAGCACTGGGGAGAGAGTGGTGGCAGTGATCCGCTGCACAGGTTGAAAGGAAGGGGGGAGAAAGACAGACCAGGAGGCTTAGAACTCCTCAGGAGGTAGTGGCAGAAGCATTCTCAACTCTTCTTTTGTTCCAAAATGCCTTTGCTTAGCCTTGTCTGTCTCTGTTCTCAGCTCCCCCGAAGGCTAGAAGGAAAGTCCACTGTCCTGAGATGCCACAAGGAAGGGAAGAGATTCCTTGGACCCAAGAGGTCCACTCCAGACAGGAGTGCCACTTCCCTCCCCGCCAAGGGACCTGAAAAAAAAGTGCCTCCTCCCCAGAACTGCCCCCTCACTGATTATTAACTACCCCTATTCCACCAACACAACCCCGTCCTCTTCCCTGGAGTTATATCAAAATGATGTATTTGTCCCGTAAGCTCTAGAATCTTCACAAACAGTCACCTACTGGTTTTCCATAGTCCCCAACAAACCATATTAAATGGTTTACAAATGGCACGTGGACACACAGAACTGCCTTCTCTACCACTGGCCCATCTAGCTCAGGACTGACCTGCCACCTTCTGAATGCAAATCTTGTGGTTCTAGGGTTGCCAGGTCTCCCCTGGCCATCAGCAGGGGATGGGGGAGGAAGGGTTGCCGGATCCAGGTTGGGAAACTCCTGGAGATTTGGGAATGGAGCCTAGGGAGGATGGGGACCTCAGTGGGGTACGATGCCATAGGCGTTATACCCTGCAGAGGTCCCTCCCCTCCCCAAATCCTGCCCTCTCCCCAGGCTCCACCCCCCGAAATCTCCAGCTATTTCCCAACCCAGAGCTGGCAATGCTGTCCCTGCTGGGGAGAAAGGCAGGATAATAAAGTAAGTAAGTCAGTAAATAAACCGATGGACAGACAGGTCGATTCTATCATTACTACAGAGTCATGGTAACAGCTGTTGGCAGAGCTTAAATATGCAAAGGAAATCTGTGGCGCACTGACTGTTTGGAGACAAATAAGTAGGTTTATTATAGAAGAACAAACTTGTTACAGAACATGCAAAGAGAAAGCCTAAACTAACCAGCCTGACTCCTGGAAACGGAACAAAGAGCAAGAAGGAAGCGCTGCAGGAGCAGGAAATCTCCAAAAGAGCCAATCAGGAGACAGCAAGGGCACAATTTGAAAAAGTGGGAAGTCCCAAGTCTAGCTAGGCTGACTACAAGTCCTTCAGCTCTCCCCCTGTAGATGATCTTCAGATGTTCTTCATAAGGCTGCACTATAGACCTTGTGCATTCCAACAACAGCAAGCCAAGTGATTTCTTATATTTGGTTTGGATCAGGGTTGTATGGGGGGGAAGGTGTTGGCTCCGCCTCATCAAGTCTGAGGGGGAGAGAGAGAGAGAAAGAGACTGCTTTCTGGCCGTTGCATTTTTGCTGGTATTTAGCGCTACAGGATGTGGAGAACCCAATAAACCAGTGATGGTGCCACAATCTGTGAGAAAACATTATAGCCTCCAGCTTCACATTCAGACTTGACTACATGTCCCTCCCAAATAACTTCTTGTGGGCAAAGTCCCTCACTATGTTATTCCCATTTCACTGACAAGCAGTAACACTCTGTCCAAAGCCTGCTCAACACATTCGACCAAACTGCCTCTCTTGAGCTGAAACAGAAAGCAAATTCACTTGAGAATCAAACAAGTGAATCGATTTGCTACTTGAACTTGGCCTGCAGACCCACCTGACTGTACTGTTCCCGCAGTCTGTCTCCTTCTCCAAGGAAGATGTAAACAGCCCCATGGTCTCCATCTTCCATGGGGGCCCCGACAGCCACGTCTGCAAGGCCATCTCCACTCACGTCCCCCAGGGAGGAGAGAGCAGACCCGAAACGGCCCAGCCGGTTTCCAGAGATCCCATGAAGTGTCTGGAGGTGATTGAGGCGACCCTGGGAATGAGGAGCAAGGACAGTCAGTCTCGGGAACAGTGGGACAGCATCCTCCTGAGAGTCCTTGGGTCTAATCTCACTGCAGCCATGAACTCCTGAGAATGTTCCCTGCCTGCAGGCAAAGGGTCAAATTGAATCAGGAGTCCTCCTCAGCCTTTTACAGACTGTAGGCACCTGTGGAATTCTGACACAGGGTGATGAGCACAACCACAAAATGGCTGCCACAAGTGGCAGAACCAAGTACAAAATGGCTACTGTGGGAGATGGATGGAGCCAATTTAATGTTGCCAATCTCCAGGTGGTGGCTGGAGACCTCCCGCTATTACAACTGATCTCCAGGCAACAGAGATCACGTGACCTGGGGAAAATGGCCACTTTGGAAGGTGGACTCTATGGCATTATTCCCCACTGAAGTCCTTCCCCTCTCCAAACCCCGCCCTCCTCAGGTTCCACCCCCCAAATCTCCAGGTTTTTCCCAAGCTGGAGCTGGGAACCCTAAGCCAAGTTACAAAATGGCTGCCACAGAAGACAGAGCCAACCCCACAAAGTCAGGGGAGTGAGGTTATTCAGAACTCTGATTGTAACTCTTCAACAGCTTTCCAGTGGCCAATCAGAAGCCCTGGTGGGCAAAAACCATGCCTAGCCCCACCCACTTTCTAAAAACACTTGCTGGGCACCAGGAAAGATGTCAGTGGAGACCTCGTTACTTACTGACACCACGTTAAGGATCCCTGAACTAAACATTACTTTTTAAAAAGAGCTGGGTCCTGGAGGTTGGGTTGGGTTCCCCGGACCCAACATGTTCCCTGCAGCCACACAGCAGCTGCAGGGAACCGCATCTAAAAAGAAAAAGGAGATCCCAAAGTAGCTTAGAATGCTGCCACATGGGGAAGAAGGGCTCCTGCCAACCACCATCGTTTTCCCATGAAAAAGCATGACGGGGGAGTTAGTTCCCTGGTTCTGCTGCTCCATGTGCATGTGGAGCAGCCTAAACAGTAATGTTGGTTTTGGCCCTAAGAAGAGACCCCAGTGCCCAGCCAAAGAGGAGGGAAATGGCAAGGGGAAAAGAAAATCAAGTGGGGAAGGTCTGAATGAAGAGACAAGCATTTTGATGCTTCTGGGAGATGATGACAGGTAGACCGAGGTGACAGTTGTATGTAGGGAATGTATGCAGTTCCATCAGTAATGCAGAAGCATACTCGGTGCATTGTGGACAGATGTCCTGCTTCTGGCCCAGACTGAATTCAGGGAGAACCTGCTCTTCCAGTGTGGAGCAGAAGTCAGATTCTGACTAGGCTGGCGGATCGGGCCCCGGGGGGAACCCCACCCCCAAACCACGCGACGTGCACGTCACCCGGAAGTGACGCGACCACGCCGGGCACGCTGGGGGCGGGGCCATGGTCATCTGAGGGAAAACTCTATGGTTTTCCCTCGGATGGTTGTGGCCCCGCCCCCAGCGTGCCCGGCGTGGTCGCGTCACTTCCAGGTGATGTGGTTGCGGCGCGTACGTGCTTCGCACACGTGCCTACCTCCCAAAGCGGCGCTGGAGTCCCCCACTCCAGCGCCGCTTCAGACTTGGCAATCCTAATTCGGACAGTTTTAATTGGCCAGTCTTTGTGTTAATCACAAAGCACCTCCCCTTTCCCACATGTACACAGACCGTAAGAACTGAAAAAAAAGAAACCCCTTCATTAAAAGTCTGGGTAAAGACAAATATTTTGGCCTCAAGTCTAAAAGAAAGTAACATAGGCACCGCCTTCCCCCGGCTTCCTACATCCTAATTGGTTGGCTTACCCTGAGAGTAATAGAGTGGACTTCAACAAGCCCTCCTTGTATCCCGTTGTAGTAAAGGGGAGCCCCAATCAAGATGAGGTCCGTGTCCCCGTCCGCATCTAGATCCACAGAGCAAAGCTCAGCACCAAAGTAGGAACCCACCTGAAGCTAAAGAGAAAAACACGACAGTGTGTGCTTACTTGTAAGAGAAATTAGGATAACCTGAATTCGATCAAGGTCCCCAACCTTTTTGAACCTATGGGCACCTTTGGAATTCTGACACGGCGTGGTGGGCACAGCCACTGAATGGCAGTCACAAAATGGCTGTTAGAAGAGGCAGAGCCAGCCACAAAATGGCTGCCATGGCTTATCTTCAGTCACACAGTGAAGATCCTTGTGCTGTGGTGGCAGCCGCTACTAAAGCAACACGCTCAGCCAATCAAATCTTCAGTAGCCAATCAAATCTTCAGTGGCCAATCAGAAGCCCTGCTGGGCAAAAGCCTCAACTGACCATGCCCACTTTCTAAAAACATTTCGTGGGCGCCAGGAGAGGTGTCAGCGGGTACCATGGAGCCCCTGGACACCACAGTGGGGACTCCTGGATTAGATTATAGGTGTATTATTCTGGCACCTGGCTACTTGGTTTAGAGGGAAATTTAGTAGTCAACAGGGGACCACAGTGAGATAATTTTTCTGCTGCTGAGGAAACTCCCTGCCCCCTGCCATCACCACCATCCCAAGGCTTTCCTGAGGGGGGGGAATGCAGGGCCTGGGACAAGCCCCTCTCACCACCCACCAGTCTCACAAAAATTATGTTCCTAAACCTCCGCTGATCCTCTGGCAGCAAATCCCACAGGGACCTCACTGCTCAGGTGACTGGCAGTTTGGTCGGGGAATGATGCCCCCCACCAAAGCTCAGGGCCTCATCCGGTTACCCCGATTTACCACTTCCAAGGGATAGCATGGGGAAGCATTCCCATGTTTGCCAGAAGGGACAGCCAAGTAGAGCTCCATACAGTTGGCTTGGAAATAGGAAAAACCTATTGCTCTTGGCCTTGGCTCAGATGTCTGTCTGTCCCCAAAGGGGTGAGTACAGGTCAACAGTAGACTCATTGTGCAAGCTTCATGGGTTTGCCCTTCACTCCTAGATAACTTGCTTGGTCAGCATGAAAAGAACAATGGATTGAACCACACCACCGTTCCTCCCTCTTACCTGCTTGCCCCCAGTGAAAGCCGTTTTCCGTTTGCTCAGGCTTTCGAAGACAACCACCCTCCCAACATGTTGGTACCGTGGAGCCCCGGCTACGTAGAACTTCCGTTGGCCACGATGAGCCAGTGCCACAGCATAGCCTGTTGGTTACATAAAGAGGAGAGACTATGACCGCTGGATATAGAACATCTTAACCAGAGGAAGAAGAAGAAGAGAAGAGATTGGATTTATACCCCGCCCTTCAATACCCAAAGGTGTCTCAGAGTGGCTTTCCTTCCCCTCCCCCCAACAGACACCCTGTGAGGCAGGTGGGGCTGAGAGAGCTCTGACAGAAACTGCTGTTTTTCAAGGACAGCTCTTATCAGAACTACGGCTTGCCCAAGGTTGTCCAGCCAGGTGCAAGTGGAGGAGTGGGGAATCAAACCCGGTTCTCCCAGATTAGAGTCCGCGCACTTAACCACTACACCAAACAGACAGGGACATGGGGAGGGGCAGAGACAAAGGTGTGCCTGCCTCACCCACCCAGATATGAGTCCTTGAACTCCACCTTGGACAAAGACATGCTCATGAAGCTGATCTGGGGACGGTCCCCCAAGGACTCTTCCTCCAGACCCCCAGCCCAGCCATAGGCACCAACAGCTCCTGACACCACATGCTCCTGTACAGGGGAAGAGCACATAAATGTTAGAGACAAAGGCGCCCAAACACAGAACCTTCACTTCATCCTCCTCTTCCCCAGGACAGCCTAAACACCTTCTCTTCCTGGAACAGAAGAGAAACAGGCAGAGGGGTTTAAATTAAGAGACGGGCGTGCATACTCACAGGGGTGAGGAGCGTGCTGAATCCACCTTGTGAGAATTCTTGCTGGAATGAACTGCCAGGAGAAACTCCAGAGGTCCCTTTTCGGAAGAAAGCACGAAAAGAAAGGATAAAGAATGCAAGGACCTCAAATAAGCCTTTCCAGATATGCCATCCGGGGGGAAATCAGCTTGACTTCTTTCCTTCAGGCAATGCTTCGGTCATGAAGTTACCACAGCTGTCACTCATACCAGGAGGAGTACACAGTTCCCTCCTTCCCCTGAACTAGTTCTCTCACTTCCATTTTTTTGCTGCTGGGCAGAATGTGGGTTGAGGTTGAGACTGGGAAGGGAAGCCATGGAGGACCCAGAGAAGATCCTTAAGTGTAAAGATGCGTTATTGGTGACCAAGATCAAGATAATTCATACTACAATATTCCCCATTACTGTGTATGGGGATGGAAGCTGGACAATGAAGAGAGCTGACAGGAAGAATGTTGATTAATCTAAAATGAGTTGCTGGACGAGACGTTTACGGGTACTAAAGGTCCCCTTGCTCGAAAGCCAGTCGAATCTGACTCTAGGGTTGCGGTGCTCATCTCCGTTTCAAAGCCGAAGAGCCAGCGCTGTCCGAAGACGTTTCCGTGGTCATGTGGCCGGCATGACTAAACACCAAGTCGCACGGAACGCTGTTACCTTCCCACCGAAGTGGAACCTATTTATCTCCTTGCAATTTCTTGCTTTCGAACTGCTAGGTTGGCAGGAGCTGGAACTAGAGACGGGAGCTCACTCCGTCATGCGGCACACTCGGGTCTCGAACTGCTGAACTACCGACCTTCCACAGCCTGCAGTTCAGCGTCTTAACCACTTGAGCCACCGCAGCTCCAGATTTTACGGGTACTGTGGATTGCCAAAAAGACAAATGGGTGGGTTCTAAATCAAGCCAAGCCTGAATTCTCCCTGGAAGTTAAAATTACTAAAGTGTGGCCATCGTACTTGGGTCACATTATGAGAAGACAAGAGTTACTGGAAAAGACAATAAGGCTAGGAAAAGTCGAAGGCAGCAGGAAATGAGGAAGACCCAAAGCGAGAAGGATGGACTCATCAGTCAAGGAAGCCACCAAGGCCCTCCTCCGTTTGCAAGACCTGAGCAAGGCTGCTAATGATGGGACATTTTGGAGGTCATTAATTCACAGGGTTGCCATAAGTCAGAAGTGACTTGACGGCACAACATGCGCATACATAATGTGAGTGAACGGACATCCTAAGAGTTAGCAGCAGGGCTTTTTTTGTAGAAAAAGCCCAGCAAGAACTCATTAGCATAATAGGCCACACCCAATAGCAGAAACTCATTAGCATATTAGGCCATACCCCTGACAGCACCACTCATTAGCATATTAAGCTGCACCCACATGTTACCAGAAGTGTGGTCATCCAGCCACACCAACCTTTTGCTTCTTATTCTGTTTACCTTGTTTGTTGTCAAAACCCAGAGCTTTTTTTGTAGCAGGAACTTCTTTGCATGTTAGGCCACACACCCCTAATGTAGCCAATCCTAATGAGTTTCTACTTTTGGGTGTGGACTATTATGCTAATGAGTTCCTGCTGGGCGTGGCCAACTCAGGACCCAGCCAGAACTCCGTTCCTGTGCATTCCTGCCCCAAAATAGCCCTGGTTAGCAGTATAGTGTTAATGATGTTACCAGTGATGACTACATGACATTATCTGCTAATGTTTAAAAAAGAAATGAAATCTCCCCAGATGAGCCCCGGAGGGCACTGCGGTCCACAAACCAACATCTTTTAGTGGTCCCCGGCCCCAGGGATGTCCGGCTAGCCCTGGCCCCTGCCCGGTGGAATGAGCTCCCGTGTGAGATCAAGGCCCTGTGGGACCTATTGCGGCTCCGCAGGGTCTGCAAGACAGAGCTCTTCCACCCGGGCATTTGGTTGAGACAGCGGACGTGTCCCCCCTCCCCCCCAGCTTCTCTGGCCCGGCCTTTTCCGGCCAAATTGTCCACCCATGGTGGCCTGATTCTGACTGGTCATCTGACTACCTCTATAGTTACACAGTATTTTATGATATTTTATGTGCAAATTGTTATTTTAATACTGTTTTAATTGTATTATTATTTAACTGTTATACACCGCCCATTTGGTGGTTTATAAATCTAATAAATAAATAAATAAATATTTTCTATTTTTAAAAGGTTAAGCTAACCTCCTGCTCTATTGTAGGATCTTTTTTTAAAAAAAAGGAAAAAAGGAAAATTATTCTGTCTCTTCACTATCCTGCATTCTCTCTCCCTGTTGTTACAATTCCTGCTCTCTAGTACTGAAGCATTTATCTCCTCAGATCTGTGTTTAAAAAAAATAACATAACAGCAAGTGTACCTTCAACTATACCCTTACAGTAATGCCACTTCTACTGTACTGCTCAAACAGCTTGCAGTGGATTAGAGTTAGCACAAATGGACTGTTAAAGGATGCATCTTGGTTTGTTTTTTTTAAAACATATGTGAAAAAACAGTACGGGAAGAGTCACAAGAAAAATATTTCAGAGCCATTCGAGACCTTCAATGGCAAAGATCTTCTCCTTCAGCTGTTTCTGAAGTGTAGGAAGTGCCTCAAAGCTTCTCACGGAGAAGACATTCTCAGGTGATGAGGAGATGTTGCGCAGCTCATCTCGAGCTCGCCGTGAAGTCAGAAATTCTCTACCAACCTGGAACACACAGAAGAGAGATTAGTTTTCCCCCCAAATCCCTACTGCTCCTTTTGGAAACACCCATGCCTTTCTAGAATGTTCCATTCTCCTACTTCCTAACTGTTAATTTCCCTCAGGTAGCAGATTTGCAGCTTGAGTTTTTCTTTAGAACCTTCATCAGGCGTTCCTTCGTGTGAAAAGAGTGATGGCACCCAAGCTGCCTGAGAGACAGCTTGTGTGTTATCATTAATCTTTTCACAGCCTGAGGGGATAACTGAATGGAGCACTTACAGCTCATGACATGGAGAAAAGGCTATGCCTGACAGGCCTGAATGGCGTCCTGCACAGAGAAAGTTCTTTAGAACATGGCCCAGAATCGTCTTCAGCATCAAGGAATTCTGTGGCTGCTTTACAAGGGTTCCTCAGAAAACAAGCCAAAATTAGCTGCTTTCACACAAGACTCTTTTGCACTGCAAATGAATTCCCATGTGGCACTGTACATTCCCCGTAAAAATCCAGTCCTGCTCATCCCATCTATATGTCACACTTTTATCCCACCTTTTCTCCAAGCAGCTCAGAGTGGCATACATGATTCTCACTGCCTCTTGCTTTATTTTCGCAAGAATCCTGTGAGGTAGGTTAGACTAAGAGAGGGTGCCTGGGCCAAGGTTACAGAGTGGGCTTAATGGTTGACTTAGGACTTTTACCTGGGCTTCTTCATGGTGGCTGTTTATATTTGATTTGCAGAAAGATGTGACAGAGGAGAAAGCTGAGGAGACCCAACTTGCTAGTGGCAGGTGAATAAGAACATAAGAAGAGCTCTGCTGGATCATACCTGTGGTCCATCTAGTCCAATATCCTGTCTCACATAGTGGCCAACCAGTTCCTCTGGACAGCCAACAACAGGGCATAGAGGCTGAGGCCTTCCCCTGATGTTGCCTTCTGGCTCTGGGATTCAGGGGCTTAGTACCTCTGAACATGGAGGTTCCCCTCAGCCACCATGGCTAGTAGGCATTAGTAGACTTATCCTCCATGGATCTATCTAATCCTCTTTTAAAGCTATTTATTCCTGTGGCCATCACTACATCCTCTGGCAGCGAATTCCACGTTTTAATCACTCTCTGGGTAAAGTAGTTTTTCCCTTTGTCCACTCAGAATCCCGTCCAGGCTGAGTTTGTTTCTCCTCTGCTTGCCAGTACTTAGCCAGGGGCAGTGTTCCCTCTAAGCTGAGTTAGTGTGAGCTAGCTCACAGTTTTTTAGCCTCCGGCTCATACATTTTTGCCTTAGCTCAGGAAGGAGGGCTCCAGAGGAAACTAATTTATGCAGCAGCCAAGTTGCTCGCTCACAACTTTAATGCCAGTAGCTCACAAAGTAGAATATTTGCTCACAAGACTCCGCAGCTTAGAGGGAACATTGGCCAGGGGATGGGCCAGTTTCTCCTCCTGCAACAGACTCCTACTTGTACCCCTCACAGTCTTCCTGGGGTCCACTGACCACCAAGAAGAGGATTTGGTGGGCCATGGCAGGCTGCATTGGAGAGGAAGAGGCTGAGACGTTCCCGGCCACCCCACGTAACTTAGGATTCAAGCCACCATCTCCGCCCCCACCCCCTTGCCCCTTTTCACCGTACCCCAATGGCATAGCGGATGACTCCTTTTTTATCTGTGGCCTCTTCGGCTTCATCAAATGTGACCTTTTCGTCATTGGATACCCCATCTGTCAGGACGATGAGCAGTTTCTTGGAGTGCTGTCGCATGCCCCCCTCAAGGGTGAAGACCTTATCCCTGTAGAGATGGGCAGCCATGAGAGTGGGTCGGAAGGAGGGGTGGTGGGTGAGGGGGAAGAGTGGCCTGGCCTCACACTTCTCTCTTGCTCACACTTACGCCACAAAGCGAATGGCAGTGGGGGTGTAGGTATTCCCTCGCCTGTGCTTGACACCGCGGATTGTATCATTCACCTGGCCTCCAAGGCGGGCATAATCAGCAAAATTAACCACGATGTTGGGATCAGAAGAGAACTGGACAACAGCAAACTAGGGAGATAAAGGGGGGGGGGGGAGAAAAGCCAACCAGGAATTACACAGCTTCCACGTAGTGTGAAAATGAAATTCACTTTTGTAAAGTCAGTGAGAATGTTGGAACCCTACTGATTTGGGGGGGGAAAGGCTTGGTAAGTTTGCCAACCCACCCGCCTTCTGTCGACTCCACCCCAAATTCTCCAGGTATTTCCCAACCTGGAGCTGTTAACCCTATGGTCCTGGCTTTCTTCCAGAAAGAATTCAAAGCTGGCTTCACCTGTTAACTTGTATCAACCCACATTAGCTAATCAGCAGGGAATATTGAAATCTAAGTTACCATCAGAAGCATGGTGCCAGACGCTGCATGGAACCAAAAAGAGCCTTTGCCATTTTCCTAGGAGACCATAAGGACTCAATTTGAAGGCGTGTTTAGAAGGAGGAGGATTGGATTTATACCCCGCCCTTCACTCCCCAAAGGTGTCTCAGAGCGGCTTACAAACTCCTTTCCCTTCCCCTCCCCACAAGAGACACCCTGTGAGGTAGGTGGGGCTGAGAGAACTCTTGACAGAAACTGCTCTTTTTCAAGAACAGCTCTTATCAGAACTACAGCTTGCCCAAGGTCATCCAGTCAGGTGCGAGTGGAGGAGTGGGGAATCAACCCCAGTTCTCCCAGATTAGAGTCTGCGCACTTAACCACTACACCAAAGCAAACAAGAATGGCACCACCATAGAAGAGGCACTACTAGGCATCACTTGGCAGCCCTGCTTTTGATAGATCAAGGATGCACGACAAGACTTCTCCAGATGATCTTCAGAGAACAGGGAAGGTCACACAGGAATCTGTTTTCTCTAAAATACGGTGGGCCCAGGTTTTTTCAGAGTTTTAATGCAGGGATGGATAACCAACTTCTGGAATTTCTGTGGCCATGATGTTTTCTAGGTAGTGGACTGGGGGTCAGGAGAAGCTAAATTCCATCTGGCAGTATGAGTTTCACAAATACAGGAAGTGTAGGTGTGACAAACTGACCTCCAAAAGCAGGATGCTTAGTGCATCAATTTTAGAGAGCTGGGAGATTAAAGGGTTAATGTCTCGCTGTGAAGCACAGGTTGATTGACAGGCTGCTGCCTGTGTATCACTCTTCTCTCTGGTCAGCACCAGCTGAGGAAAGCTTTAGGAGTGGCTGTATACTGAGGAAAAAGGTCTTTTTTGCCTTGTTTCATCACTGGCATGTCAGAAACAAGACAGGTGGAGTTAGTGTGTCTGTCAGGGGAAAACATATAAGTTCACTTGTGAAGTGAAGGGACACAACTCCTTGCCTTTACTGTGTACCATCAAATCTGAGGGAAAGTTCCAAATAAGAATCTGAGGAAAAGTTCCAAATAAGAGCTTTAGTCTAAGTGTCAGCCAAGCTGAAAACTGTTTATGTCACTGGGTCAAGAACTGAGAGCCAGTTTCGGCAGGATGGATTAGTCAGTACGTTGAAGCTGCCAGTCTAGCCAAACAGAAAAGCAATATTATTTCTAGGAAAAGGAGAATATTTCCTTCTCAGTTATTCACTGGGTTCAAAACTGAAGGGACCCCTGGACTGGGTGAAAAAGGAAATTGTTTTAGACTTTTCTGGAGTCAAAGGGAAAGCTGTAACCCAACATGAAAGGAGAATAAGTGCAGGAAGAAAGTACTAATTTCCAGGAAACTAAGATAGTTATATGAACCTTCATTAGGACACACTGTTGCTGTTAAGAAATCTCCAAGACAAACAAACCTTTCAATATTAAGATCTGAGTCTCTAAGAAACTAAGCTTCAACAATACTTTGTAGCCTGTTCAAAATATCATAATTTGTAAATAACAATACAATTTACCTCAGTTTTCTCATCCCCTGCCTATTACTAACCCAACTGTGCCTGTTTCATATAAAGTCATCATTCCTGTTTGAACTTTACTTTGCGTCAAGTGCCATTTACAAAGGAACTAACGAGTGGGCTCCTGCTTATCTATAGTAAACCACTGGCCTGGGGGAAAAGCCCAATCTCTACCAAAGGGTGGGAACACTCCAAATCCCCTGAATTTCCTAACCCCGAGTTGATCACCAAAGAAGACAGATTGTTGGGGTTTTTTTGTCCAGCAGCAAGTGCACAGGAAGTCTTGATCATATCCTGCTTTATTTAAAATGCACAGAGTTGAACACTAATCCAATAATTAAAGACTGCTTTGTGCTGGATTCGGAAACCCATACATGGGGGGGGCCCCCTCCAACTCACGTGCCGCTTTCCAGCCAGCTTCTTCCACCAGCCCCATGCAATAGTTCCACAGTCCCTTTTTGACTGCTCTCACCTGAACATCTGGCTCAGCCACAGAAGCCATAAGCTTCTGGATAAAATCCAGCATGATGGTGAAATCAGCATCACGAATGCTCCCGGAGTCATCAAATAAGATCACAGCATCCACCCCAGTGATGCATTCTGAGGGTGAACAAGAGACATGAATGGTAAGCAGACACATAACGAGTATCCCCCCCAGCCCCACTCTCCAAAATCCCACAACCCAACAGGATAACAAGATTGTTCTTCATTCCCTGAATAATATTTTTGTGCTCAGACAGTAGTTATATATGGACACACATGAAGCTGCCTTATACTGGGCCAGACCCGTGCTCCATCAAACTCTGTATTGTCTACTCAGACTGGTGGCAGCAGCAGCTCTCCAGGGTCTTTCACATCAGCCCCAACCTAATCCTTTTAACTGGAGCAGTGTTCCCTCTAAGCTGAGTTAGTGTGAGCTAAGCTCACAGTTTTTTAGCCTCTGGCTCACACATTTTTGACTCAGCTCAGGAAGGAGGGCTCCAGAGCAAACTAATTTATGCAGCAGCCAAAGTTCCTGCTCACAACTTTAATGCCAGTAGCTCACAAAGTAGAATTTTTGCTCACAGGGCTCCATAGCTTAGAGGGAACATTGAACTGGAGATGCCAGGGTTTGAACATGGGACCAAGCAGGTGCTCTACCGCCAAGCTGTGTGTATGTGGCGGCTCATCCTCATATTACCATCAGCTACCAGTGGGTTGGTCATCATTAAATTTTGCGGACTTTCACTTTTTGGGGGTGGGGCAGCAAACCAGTCAGTTATTTTTAGCGATCCTTGCGTTAGAGTCTTATAAAATAATAATCATTTGATCCAACTGTGCCCAAAGGCTGGAGAAGTGAAGGGGAGGACTCTGTCATTGGTACGTTGCAATCACTCCACTCCAGGACCAAGCACCAGCAAGAACCAATCTGCTTGTCTTCAATTGGATATAAGTCCTGATATTACCAGAGGCATCTCTGCCTTTCCCCTCCTCTCCCCACCGTTTGTGCAGTTTATCTTTTCAATTTCTAAGCCTGAGATAAAGTGCCTGCATCCTTTGATTTGATAGCGAGATAGTTTTTGATGCAGAAAGACCCGAACAACCCTGGAGAGGGATGGGCTCTCAGATTATAAATCCTCTGGATACGGCTGCCAACCTCTGGTCCTTCATGTAGATCAGGCAGGGTTGGCAACCTCCAGGTGGTGGCTGGAGATCTCCTGGTATTACAACTCATCTCCAGGCAACAGAAATCAGTTCACCTGGAGAAAATGGCTGCTATGGAAGGTGGAGTCTATGGCATTATACCCCACTGAAGTCCGTCCTATCCCCAAAACCACCCTCCTCAAGCTCCACCCCCAAAACCTCCAGGTATTTTCCAACTCAGAGCTGACAACCCTAAGATCGGAGTCCCCAATCTATTTGAGGCTGTGGACACCTTTGGAATCCTGACACAGCGGGGGGGGGGGGCGCATCCACAAAATGGCTGCCAAAAATGGTTGCTGCAAGAGGCGGAGCCAGCCCCAAAATGGCTGACACAGCTTACCCTTTGGTCACACAGTAAAGGTACGTGCCATGGTAGCAGCTGCTACCAAAGTAATGCTTTTAAAAATTCTGCACCACCACCTGCAATGGAAAAGCTGTTCGGGCTATCAGAAGAGTTGTACCGTGATAGAGAAGTGATCGTCGAGCTGAATAAACCTGAGTTTTGCTGAAATCACTCTCTGACTATTTTGTTAAGCATCGGACCCCCTTATGTAGATTATTATTGGTACGAGGAAGTATACAAAGGTACTCTCGAAACCTGACCTTGGAAAGCTGGATGAATCTCTTTCAAGTTTTGGTCAAAGTTGTCCAGGATATAGCAAACACCATTCAGGTAATCGTTTCTCCCGCACCGGCGCTTCCAAGTTGGACCACAGGCCTGTGAGGAAAAGATCAACCAACAGCCCTGCACTTGAGAACACTTTGAGAAACTCCTCCCCCTTTCTCAGCTACAGGCTCAGGGCTCACTGCAAACACCCACAGCCTGTGCCCAGTGAAGTTGTGCTTTCTGTTTTATAGGTAATGACATTCTTGACTTACTTACTATTAGTTTAGAATCGGATGCCTCGTCAACAGCCAGTGAGAGACCCAAGGATATTTCAGAGGTGACTTTGTTGCAGAAAAGGATGGGTGGTGCATGAAAGAGAGAGAGAAGTGTTCACCAGAGAACTTATTCGCACATGACAAATTTATGTCATAGGTGTACATGTGGTACACATAGCCATGTACACTGTGACACTTTCTGCGGCTATATGCAGTTGCTCTCAAATAGCTCAGGAGCTTCTCCTCTCCCCTTTATAAGCTCTCTGTTTTTTCTGACCTTCTTTAAAACAACACTGACAGCAGAATAATTACCTCATAGAACTGCACACTCACAACCTGTTTAAACTGGGATGATGCCCATAACTGGTTTGTACCCAAAGCCGCTCGGATTTAAACAAGAGGTTCTGTGAGTGCGGTTCCACAGGTGACTCTTCTTGCCTTACCACCTTCGCATGAACTGAAGACATGCACAAACACTCCCGCTGAATTACCCAGAATCTGTTATTTCTAGCCTTTAGTCCTCCATCTTTTCCTTGTTTCCTTCTTTTTAGCTCAAGACCCCATCCCGTGATAATAGCCTCATAAGATGTAGGGAGCCTGACTACTGCAACATTTAATGAAAGTGGTGGCCTCCTCAAAATGGCCAGTGAGTGACTGCTAGGGCCATTAAGGGCAGCAGTCCCTGTATATTTATTTATTTATTAAATTTGATTTTTATACTGCCCATTCCCTGTAAACAGGGCTCAGGGCAGTGAACAACAGTGGCTAAAACAACATATCGTATCATTTAAAATTACAATAAGATTACAGGCCAATTAAATCAGGTGGTGATCAAGATTTCCAGTTATGCTATTATCTTGCGGGGGGGGGAGTGCAAACCAGATGGACGCCATTGCTGTCCTCAACCGAACGCCTGAGGGAACATCTCTGCCTTGCATGACCCTGAAGAACTGCATCAAGTCCCACAGGGCATGGATGTTCTTCGGCAAAGAGTTCCACCGGGTTGGGACAAGGGCACTAAAGGCTCTGGCCCTGGTCAAGGACAGATGGATATCTCTAGGGCCAGGGACCACAAGCAAGTTCTTATTAGCAGAGCGTAATGCTTGTCTGGGAGCTGCGGTGGCTCAAGTGGTTAAGACGCTGAACTGCAGGCTGTGGAAGGTCAGTAGTTCAGCAGTTCGAGACCCGGGTGCCGCATGATGGAGTGAGCTCCCGTCTCTAGTTCCAGCTCCTGCCAACCTAGCCGTTCGAAAGCAAGAAAATAAATAGGGACCACTTCGGTGGGAAGGTAACAGCGTTCCGTGCGCCTTGGTGTTTAGTCATGCCGGCCACGTGACCACGGAAACGTCTTCGGACAGCGCTGGCTCTTCGGCTTTGAAACGGAGATGAGCACCGCAACCCTAGAGTCGGATTTGACTGGCTTTCGAGCAAGGAAACCTTCACCTTCAATGCTCGTCTGGGGATATACCAGGAGAGGCAGTCCTGAAGGTACGTGGGTCCCAGACCAAGCCCAATATTTACCTCAAAATGTCCCCTTCCCCCAGTAACACTGGGAACTTCTGTGATGAAGACTGGACTGGAATTCTAACAGAAAATTGATAGTGCTGTCATGAAATTATGATTCTGAGGATTCTTTAAGAGAACCATGACACTTGAACTGGCACAAAAATATAGAAGTTGTAGAACATGCATGCCTCCCACAGGAATTCTGAGGTAGAATGAACAAACATACTGTTTTGGTCTTGCCGCAGAGGTACTTGGAATGGCTGGCATTGCTCCGTATCATAAGAACAGCGGAAAAGTGTCTCCGTATGGTTGGGCAACAGGGGGGCACTCACTATTAACCTGTGTGAGAAAAGCGATGGGAGTATTTGTTTAAACTAATATTCATAAGCACGAAAAATAAAGCAAAAACTTGAGTACTACCATAGTCACTTGGCTCTCACCAGGGCCTGCTGTTTGCTCTTATCTGGACTACACGATAGCCAAACTGGGCAGCTGCATCGCCTCCAAAAATCACCTGTGTTTCTGTATCAATACTGAAGGTTGAAGAAAGAGGGAAACCTGGAAAGGGGGAGACATTAAGGGGGAGGCATAAATAATGGAATAATAAATTCGCAGCACTGAGCCTCCATGAAGTACATTTTTTAAAGAGTTTACAGGTTCAACCGGGGGGGGGGGTGTTTTAGAAAATGGAATTAAATGGAACACATCCTGAAAGCAGAGACAAAAATCAACAGAAGATATCATCAGTTAAAGACATAGTAAACTGAGCAAACAGGCCCAAGTGTATATTGTTAAATATGGCTATTATTACTATTTTTTATTGGTTCATCCTTAAGGTTGCCAAAATACCTGGAGCACGAGGAGGATGGAGTTGGGGGAGGTACCTCAGCAGAGTATAATGCCATAGAATCCACCTCGTAAAGCAGCCATTTTCTCCAGGTCAAGTGATCTCTGTCACCTGAAGATCAGTTGTAATCGGTGTTCCCTCTAAGCTGAGTTAGTGTGAGCTAGCTCACAGATTTTTAGCCTCCAGCTCATACATTTTTGTCTTAGCTCAGGAAGGATGGCTCCAGACTGAACTAATTCATGCAGCATCCAAATTGTTCGCTCACAACTTTAATGCCAGCAGCTCACAAAGTAGATTTTTTGCTCACAAGACTCCACAGCTTAGAGGGAACATTGTAATCCCAGAAGACCTTCAGTCACCACCCTGAGGCTGGTAACCAATGCTCCCTCTAAGCTGTGGAGTCTTGTGAGCAAAAATTCTACTTTGTGAGCTACTGGCATTAAAGTTGTGAGTGAGCGATTTGGCTACTGCATAAAATAGTTTGCTCTGGAGCCCTCCTTCCTGAGCGAAGACAAAAATCTGTGAGCCGGAGGCTAAAAAACTGTGAGCTAGCTCACACTCACTCAGCTTAGAGGGAACACTACTGGTAACCCTGTGGTTTTACATATCCTACTGGGGCAGAGTACCAGTGATTTTATACTGCAATGTATGAAATTTTTGTGGTAGGTGATGGTGTTGTTAGCCACTGACCATGTTTGGCTGAGCTGGCAGAAAGTTCTCTATTGGATGAGTGGCTCTGATCCTAGAATGGCAAAATGATTGATAGCATTGCCAGGTTCCCCCTGGCCACTGGCAGGGGATGGGTGGCATAGGGTTGCCAACTCCAGGTTAGGAAACTCCTGGAGATTTCGGGATGGAGCCTGAGGAGGAAAGGGACCTCAATGGGGTAAAATGCCATAGAGTCCATCCTCCAAAGCATCTGTTTACTCCAGGAGAACTGATCTTTTTTGTCTGGAAATGAGCTAAAATTCCAGGGGACTTGCACCCAGTGTAAGAATCCCAAAGGTGCCCACAGGCCTAAAAAACCTGGGTTCCCCTGCTCTAGTTCAACTTTTGTCTCAGCCATAAATAGTGTTGCCAACAGATCTGGAAGGAAAATTTTCCTATCTCTTTCACAGAAGCTTAATATGTGGAAATAACGGACTGAAGCTTTTCATGACATGGGAGTAAATAAGATCACCTGGTAAGTAACATCCCAATGAGACTCTGCAAAAGAGACAGGACACATTTGTTTCCTCAGGGCATTTGCCAGCCCTAGCTAGAAACAGTCAAGCTCCACAACTGCAAGAGGAGGGTAATATATTTTACAAGGTAATTAGTGTTGTCAGCCTCCATGCGGTCAAAGTCAACCACCAATGGATGTGCAGTGTACGCAAGTATGCAAACCACCAAAAAGTATAACACTGTACCCATAAAGTATTAGACAACAAACTGTGCCTTTAAAATGAATTAGTATTTTCTTTTACAGTCCTTTTTCACAGAAGTTGTTGATCACTCCCTTTTTGTCTCTGAACACAGTCACAAATAAAGTGGCTGTGATTTGTTTTTGACCCACGTTTCTGGCTGAGAGGAAGTCAGTCACACACCCTTATCCCCAGAAGCAGTAAGTTGAGTCACTTCATGGCATCTTCCCTCCACACAGCCGTCTCCTCCTCCATCCCCCCCTTCCCCAGCAGGGGATGGTTTTAAGCCCAAGAGATTTTTCGGGGTTATTCTCGTCACTGCGCTGTGCAGGTCTACAAAATTTGCTTAAAATGCACCGGAGTACAAACCAACAAAGAGGGCAACGAGTTTAATCTTCTGAAGTGAACTTTCACTTCTTTAAATGTGACACATGCTGACCAGGCATGATGAATCTATGACTCTTCGTGATTCACCTCACACCAGTTTAGGAAATGGACTCCTTTCCCCATGAAGTAACACCTGGGTTTAAAGATTGAG